TTACCCAACACCCCTGAGGGACAGAAGTCTTGTTTCCTCTGCAGCAGCCGGACAGAGAACACACACCAAGGGCTGAAGCTTGGATTGACTTCTTTCGTAGGTGGTTCTTATGAATTTGTCAGGTCATGTGCCAAAGCTCAGCTCCTTCATCTCTGGCAGGAGAACCTCATGAGCAAAGTTTCAGATTTCGGATGAGATGTCACAGCTTTCAAGCACCAGCACTTCTCTACCTAATGGCTCCTTCCTTTGGCTGCTCTTCTCTTTAAGAATCATCAGCACATCCAAAGACTGTTGGGAAACTGTTATTAAAAATTATGTGGACTCCTGAGGGCAGGTGTGCGTATCATTATCTTCAACCCTCCAGTGCCTAGGATTATGAAACCACCTCAAACAGGGACGTCAAGAAGACACACATGCATATCTGCATGCTTTGCTAGCCTCCACAAACACCTTTTTAATGCACTATTTGTACTCAAGACAATAGTCACAGTTAAGAACAGCAGTCTTAAGATTGAACAGAAAATGGTAAATAATCATTATCTTTTCTTCATGGTGGATATTAATTAGTTGATGCATATTAGCTACCACATACAATATTATGTTGTGTACTAATTAATAACTTGACATTTGCATATAAAATAATCACCATAAGTCTAGCAATCATCTGTCCCCAAAGTTATTACGATATTATTGGCCATATTCCTTACGCTGTATATTACATCCCCACAGCTTTTTTATTTTATAACTTAACCTTTTAAGGTTAAGTTATAAAATAAACTTAACCTTTTCCCACCCACCATGCCCCCCAGCAACCATCCGTTTGTTCTCTATATCTTTGAGTTTGCGTTTTGTTTTGTTTTGTTTAGATTCCACATATAAGTGAGATCATACGGTATTTGTCTTTCTCTGACTTATTTCACTTAGCATAATACCCCCTAGATCCAACTATGTTGTCACACACATTTACGACTTGAGATTCAGATGTTCACTTGCTTCATATTGAACTATACTAGAGTTTAGTTTTGAACCTCAGAGCTTAAACCCTGCGCATTATAAAATTTGCTCCTATAGATAATGTAGAGAGGCATATATGACCATACTACATACTAATCGTCAAAGTACAGTTCTTTCTTAGGTCCAGATACGTTATAAATTGCTTCATGTCTATAGCCTTGCGTAAAGGCCATAAGAGATCCAGTACTCCAGACCATACTGCAACATAAAAGCCAAGTGATATTAGAAGGTGCCAACTTCATTTTAAGTAAAGATTCAAAAAGCAGAGAGACTGGCAAAAGTATAACAGTACTGAGCAATAACGTGTGTATATATAATACATATACATATGTATACATAAAAATTCTAAATATATATAACTATCCCTCAGTGGAATCATGAATTAATCTTTCAACACAGATAGTAGTAAAATATTTTTAATAAAACCCTTGTCAGAATGAAATAGTTTTGTAAGCTGCAAGAGTTTAGTATAATAATAAATGCTACATTAATGGGGTTAGTTATTTCAGCACATTTAACACCATGTAGAGCGGCAACATTCAGTCATTTGTGAGAAAGATCCTGCTACTCACTTCCTGGAATGCATTCATTTGTATCTGGTTCCTGATCTGCTTTTTGATCTACTCAGAAGAGCAACATTGAGAATAAATACCATTTTAACAGAAAGATGAAAGAGACACGAAAATAAAGCTCAAATGTCAGTTTCACTACTAAGACTGCAGAATACATCTGACAGTTTTTCAGCTTGCTTTCCTCCATTCCCCAGTGCAATTCTTCATTAGCCTCTTTGAGGTCTCCTGTTCAAGTAAATATCCAACATCCAGCACAGGAGATGTGCAGTGTCTTTCCTCTCACTCAATAAGCCACAGCATGGAAAATGGAACGAACACTGTACTAGGAGTGGTGAAGCTGAGATGCCCGTCCCCACCCTCCCACTGACTGACTAGCTACAAGAGCTTAGACAGATCACCTAATTTCTCTGAGCTTTCCTCTGTAAAATGAAGATAAAAATCACTGCCCCACCTACTTCAGTGAGGTGGTTGTAAACATAAAATGAGAACGACAAAACGATTACATAAAAGTAAGGAATGACCTTTGAAGAGCTCTGTTGCTGCATTTTACATGAGAAAGCTCAGTTAATATACATTTTTATCATTATAGTGCAGGCAACTTAGAAAACAAAATTCTAGCATACAAGTATAAATTATATTTATGTTTGCATAAATGCTGAACCATAAAAATCAGACTCATTTCCATCCCTCCCACCACTATTACCCTATTCATTTTATAACTGAACCAAGTAACACCTGATCCATTGACAAGCTGCAAGACCTCCTGGCTCCTAAAAATTCAGAATCAGTTAATTTCACCCTTGGTCTATACTTAGTTATTTACTTGAGAAGAGGCAGGATCCCCACTCTTGTTCTGGGACCCTTTCCTTTGACCTTAAATCTTTACCAGTTACACCTAGAGAGATCTAAATGCTGAGACTTGAGAATCAAATATAGGAATAACTTAACCCAGGAACCCACTCCACTCTCCCTGCCTTCACAAGGAGTTTTGCAAGTCAGAGTAGCAAAAATCTGTTCATACCCATAGAAATACAATTTCCTATTTTTAGAAACCCTCGCTTCCCAAGGGTCTCTGATGAGATCCTCACAACAGTATCACCAGCAGAAACCTTAAGAATACAAGCAGTATTAAATGCACCAAGTCAGAACCATTTTATAATAACTTAGGCACAATTCATCACATAGCAGCAAATGACGTTCTTCTATTTCTCTAACAGCTGCATCCCGGTGACTGCCCAAACCATCCCAGAACCTAATACACAGACAGACATGCAAATACATAAAGATATTTACCATCTTCAGCACTACGCACTAATTCTTCTGGCAGATTATCTACTTTTGCTTGATCTGTGCAGGAGAAATTAACAAATGGTTAAAACGACTGACCCTTGCCGAGAAGGAACAGTGAGATTGTCCCTGGAAGCCCCCGGAGTTGGAAGCAATTAGTCAAGATGCGGTGAGGGGTGCAACCAAGATGTCTTCCCCAAAATACTTTCCCTTTAGATTAGCTAGTTGAGCCAGTGCCATAGCGGGAGCTCCCATTTCAGCCCCGATGCAGCTTACATCAGCACACTGCTGCACACGGACTCCCAAGGGTTAGAGGGTTAGCTCAGAGCAAGCAATCGGCTGGCAGCAGGAGAAAGCACAGGGCTGCAACAGCCTCTTTATTCTTCTGGAAAGGGTAAGATGCTAGCCATGACTAACACCTTCTCAAACCCATGGTCATTAACAAATATTTCTGTGCGTGCATCATCATTTGTGTATGCCTCTGGGAGCCTTGCTTGGGAAGTCAACTGAAGAGATGTAACTGGGGACCAGCTGCTAAGTGGAATCTTGGCAGGCTCGTGTGAGAGTGGGTATCGGTATTTGGAAAGGAGCATGCAGGAATACCCGTCAGCTGATGGTGTTTTTTATTTTAACTCTGCGCATTCCTGAGTACTTTAGAGCTGCACCATGGAAATAGCCACATGCTTCTCAGGCAAGAGGTCTGCCAAATTGGACAATTGTTGCTGAGTTTTGGGGTTTTTTTTTCCCCTCAGGGCCCATCACTAACATCAGGAAGAACAATCAGGGCTGTCCAACAAAGGACTGGACTCGCCTTCTCTGGAAGCATTCAGGCGGATGTGGGGGGTTGGCCACCTGTTAAGGGGGCTTTAGAGGGAATTCCTGCACTGGGGGGAGTTTGGAATGGGTGACCTTCAAGGTCCCTTCCAACCCTGAGATTCCAAGATCTTTGGTAGGGTGAGGACTGCATTCCAAACTGGGACTCTATTGCCCCCAGAGCCCTGAAAATCTCTGAATTTTAAGAATTGTTTAGTGGCGTAGTTTTTTCTTTTTTAAAATCTGAGTTTTCAGTCTCAATTGCAGATGCGTAAAAATATTCTCAACATGACAATGGTCAATTTTAATCATATGAGTTTGGCAGTGGTTAACTTGCACTAAGTTTTCGCATGACCATCTATAATCCCAGGGGTACATTTTAGCTTAAAAGTATTAAGAACAAAACCCCAAGAAGTCACAATCTCTAAGTCCCTATATACATTATGCTGTATGTTAGTACTCTAGAAATCCTTCACCAGTTAAAGCAGCAGCCAGTGGGGAATAGTGTGCCTGAAGTGTTGCATGTCAGATAGCCTTTGGGCTTATAATTCCACTATCCAAAAGAAATGCATGAAAAGGGATAAAAGAGAAAGCAAAGTCCTTGAAGCCAGGGACTAATTCATCTCTATATCATGCAAAAATTCATCAGACATCCAACACTGTCATATGTAACATGGTCTCTTCATAAATGCTCTTGTTAATAGCCTGTTGATTTTGAGTCCCAGCTCTGCTGTATGATAGGAAGCAAACTACTTTACCTCTGTGAACTTCACTTTCCTCATCTGTAAAATGGGAGTAACAATTTGTCCCTCACAGGGTTGCCTATGCCAGTTAAATGGGAAAATGCATGTAAAACACTTAGCCAAGTCCTGGCACACAGTGTTCAATCAATGTTAGCTATTACCACTAGAACCACTAGCTACCACATTCTTTTAAAATTCACTGTACTTGAATAAACACTCAAACTGGGATTCTTCAAGGAAACCTAGTATTCTAGTAACCAAACCTCACGTGTTATTTTAAAAGCAAAGTTCCAGCCACTTTAGGCTGAGCCTCTTCAGCTCACTTGGGAAAAGTTATTCTCATCTGTTAACCCCCCTTTAGGGTTTTCAGTGCACAACAGCATGCAGTGAGGCCACAGAAGAGCACATACGCATTTTTAAGCTGAGATGGGGGCATGAACAGTGGGGCAAACTTTATTCTCACTTGATGAATCTGATGCAATATCTTCTAGACTTTTGGAAGGCATTTTCCTAGCAGCACTCCTTTCCAAAGTTTTCAAAACAGGACTGGGTTCTTCTTCTGAACCTGTTGCAAGACAAAACCGATGAATACTGCACAAAAGAAAAAAGAAAACAACCAAACTCTTAATAATCAATGGACACTGAAATGGTAGGTTGAAAGGAGGCATTATGCCATAAGCCTCTATACTTTTATTCACTCTATGAAGCACTCCAACAGAAGAAAATAAAATTTCTCCACTAAAGAATATTAGTATATTCTTTAAATAACTTTCCTGGTCAAGAAATATTTGTAAGCATAAATGATACAGAAACAAGATTAACAAGATTCCCACATTAATAGAAATGTGCTCTCTTAGTCTTCTACACCTCTATTTTAGGCACATGATTTGTTCTGTGCCAGACTTTGAATCTTTCCCCTTCACTTCTAGCTTTTGAAGACAGCCACAAAATGGTTTTAGAAGCATTAAAATAATTAGCTGAAAACCATAGAAGGCAGGATTCAGATGTTTTAACATCTGTGTATAATTGGGTACACAGATGGGTGAATTCTCCAGATCAACAAATGTAGGCTTTTTGGGTTTCATGAACTGGTGAAATTTCCAACAAAATGTTGGGTAATGACATGAGGTAGTCAACTTTTTATTTTACTAAGGCATTTGTGTGTGTGGGGGGGAGGTCTCTATTATCTACTAATGCCTTTATTTTATAAAAGGAAAGGCATTTTAGGACCACAAGGGAAAAAAAAAAAAAAAGGAAGAAAAAGCACATAACCGGAAAATAAGAACAGTTCTTTAAATACATCTAATTTTATAAAAGTTTTTCTCTAGATAGTCCTTAATTGTTCCATTTTGACAGTGGAAACTCCATCATGGATAAGCCCTGGTCTGAGTACTCTCATTCATCACTGTTGTAGTCTCAGTGACTAGAACAGTGGCTGGCAACAGGCACTTCGAAAATGTTTGCTAAATCAACGAATGATTCCATTAATGAGTCGATGAATTTGAGAACTACTTCTCTAGACAATACTTTCCTGAAATGCATCCCAGTTCTGCCCAATGTTAATAGGCATTCTCCAGTAAATGGATCCTAAGATGAATTAGATTTGGGACGCTCTGTGTTCAAACTTAAATGGTTTCTTACTGCAGACCTTCTTAGTGACTTTAATATGCTTTAGTGTACTAATCATGTGCACGATCTCCCAGCATTCCCTCCCCCCTTTTAAAGGAACATACTGAGGTATTGGTTGGTTAAGAGCTCAGCCACAAGTCAAACATGTTAGGCTGCTCATCAAAGTTATGGTGCCTTGTTGTCAGGTTCTTCCCTACTCTCACTCCACCCCCACCCATTTATTTAAAAAATAATAATTTAGGTTAGAAGATACAAAACTATGTACTATGTTATACCTCCTACTTGGCTTATAATTTTAAAATATCTTCTCTGGGCTCTGTCTGTCTGGGTGGTTATTTATATTGATTATTTCTTTTTTAGATAGGCTTTTCTGCTGTTCAATCAGTTACGCCGGTATACTTTGACACAGCCATATACATTAAGCAATAGTCTGTAAAGTAAGTGCAAATTTACAAGCCCTTCACCTCCTATAGGTCAATTTGGCCCAGTAACTCATGGGGTAGCTTAGTAAAAGTCTACTTCAACAAGTTTAAGATGTTGCCTTAACACTCTTGCATATGTCTGGTTTGAGAGACGGGTATTTCATTTTCCTTTTCTCACCAGTTATAAATGTTAAAGGGGCTTCAGCTTGATTACTTAGGATTAAAGGTGGATTCTTTGGTCACTTTTCAATAATAGGCCCTACAGCTACTTGCAAAGGAGCCCAAACCTCACCAATCAGCCACTCAGTAAAGCTCATTTGTTCTCATTGAGACTGAAGGGAGCCAGAAAATGACAAATTCTATTAATTTTCTACTAAGGAAGGTGATCAACATTAGTCGTTATGCAATTTTGGTTAAAATGTTCCAGCCAGAGAGCATCCTTTATCATTTCATCATTCTCATCAGCTAACTTCTAATCCCTATTTGTTCCTGGGTTTCTCTCCCAAAATAGCCAGGTTGCTCAGAATAGCAAACTGAGACAAGCCCTATCTTTTATAGCCTGGCTGAAACCAGAAGCCCAAGTCCACTTAGGTGAATATGGTAATTGATTAAGATCTCCATCCACTTAGCTAAGGCTGGAGCCAAAGAAATGCAGCAGGCCAGGCAATGCCCTTATAGGTAGAATCAGGTGAGGTCGTCAGACTGAGGCATACCCTGGAAGGGGAGGATCCTGCAGATAATTGCAAACAAGAGGGAGAGAGTGGCAACAGAAACACCACAGCCCAAGGTATCTCAGGGAAACTTCCAGCCTTGCACTTTGTTCCTGGTACTTAGCCACTAATGTGGTAAACTACTGTTCTTAAAAGGGAAATGTGTGACCAATATGGGAGTTTCTTGCCACAAATCTTACTAGAGACTCCTGTATGGACTGCCAATTAGGAAATTCTAATTAGCTCCAAGAGAAAAGCACACTTGGATGTTTTAGAGGTACTCTCTAAACCCCAAAAGTTCTTTAAAAAATATTTTTGAAACCTAAAAATTCTATCACTGATCAGTGAGAATAAAGTCAGATTCTGAAACACTGCCTGATGGGTAAAGCTATCTCTAGGTAACTCATTTGATTAAAGAAGATAAAAGGAAATGTAGTTTTTTATTAAGAAAATCTAGGGAGAACTGAAGTACAAAGAAGAATTTAGTACTATTTGGGATTGTCAAATTCATCCCAATTCTAAAAACGACACCATCCTTTATGTCAGCATTACATAAATCAACTCATTAACCAATCAGTTAAAAACTTCAAAATGCTCGCTGGAGGTATTTCTGCAGCTTTCTGCCTTAGAACTGATGTTTCCATCTGAAATATCAGAGTCAGAGAAACCTTCTTTTTCTTCCTTTTTCTCTTGTCTCTTATTTGGTGATGCCAGAATCAATTCAACTTTACTTATTTTTGTAGAGTTTTCTTTGTCAGGAGAGGAATGGGTTGCCTATTTCTGGGCACGTTCATTGCTTCAGGAGCCTCTTTGAAACCAAGCTCCTGAAAAGCCCCGTCTCAAACTACTGCAACCTCACTTTCATAATTCCTGTCCTCTGGGGGTTTTAGTTTCAGTGGTCCCTATTTCATGGTCCACAGAAAGTTGTGAGGTTCCAGGGATCTCAACCCCACTTTCAAAACCACAGAGATCTATTGGTAAATCAGCCAGCTTTGTCTCTTCCCAACACTTTATCACGTTGCCTGACTTGAGATTTGAAAACATTACTCTTAAGTTTCATTTCCGAGGCCTTTAAGGCTGTCCAGTAAAAAGAGGGCACTTTCCCCAAGAACCTGGCCTGCTTTGACTGTGAAGGCTCCTTCTCAGGAGTTTCTTCCTTCACTGACACTTGGAGCTGATAAGAAGGACCGTTAGATGATTCTTTAAGGAGTTTCTCAAAGCCAATCTCAAAAGCACTCCCAGTAATTGATGGAGCCTCAGGCTTTTCTACTGTTTCTTTTATTTCCTTAGGATGGAATTCAGAAGCAGCCTGCCTGGGCACCTCAGTACTACCTATTAACTTTGATGAATAAAGAGTCCCTGTATCACTGTCATATTTTGAGCAGGGGGTTTCAATTGTTTCCTTCAGTAGTTTTTCTAAAACAGCACTGAATTCAAGGAGCTCTGATTTAGGTTGAATAATTGTTTCCCTCACAGTTTCTGTCACTTCCTGAGATAACGCTTTGCCATCCTGAGGAACAGTAGAAGCAGATGAGCTAAGGGTTTGTTCTGATGGAGGCATTTGGGCAGCTAAATAAGATCCAACTTTATGAGTTTTATCAGGAACTACACTGAAGGAATACAAATCCTTTCTGTCTGGAACTATGCTGTCCCTTGCAGTCTGTGATGGGATAACTCCCAGAGAATTTGAGGGGCTACCTTCTACCTGCATGCCTTCAGGAAATTCTGCTTTTACTTCTCCAGAAACTACTTCCCTCCAACTGGATAAGTCAACAAAGCTTCTCTAAGTAGCTTTTGTAATACAGACTTTACATCATTCAGTGCAGGTTTGGGTAGAAGAAGAACTTTTTCTACAGTCTCAGAAATTCCCTTTGAGAAGGTAGTGCCTTATTCTGAGGAACAAGATGAGCATCCTTAGAAGAAGGCACACCTTGGGGAGTGTTGGCCACATCCCCAGAAGAACCCTTTCTGTGGTGATAGGAAGGTTGATCCAATGGGTAAGAACCTTCTGCAGCCATCTGAAACAAGTTCTCCGTGTTTAGCTGGCACTCACCGCTTTGAGCTTTCTGGGAGAGAGCTGAATTTCCCAAAGTTCCTGCCTCTGGAAAAGAAGCTAGTATCTCTCTCTGATAGGCTGATGTGTTCTGACTCCATTCTATCCCTTTTTCATAAACTCTACTCTCTTCAGACTCAGAGTCGATCCTAGTGGTTGCTGGTTCACATTTGGTTTGCGAGGGAGAGGGTGGAGGTCCAGTGGCTTCCTTCAGGAGTCTGTCTAGACTAGCAGTCAAAGTGTTCGAATTGACCTTTGGAGGAGCTACTGTTTTGTCTATATGCTCATTAACGATCTCCTTAGGTCTTTTGGCTTCTTCCTCGGTATCAGCAAAGTCTGTCTTTCGAGGCCATGTCCTATTTTCAGAAATACCTGGTTCAAGCGCTTGTTTTTTATGAACTTTTCCACCACAGGGCTGGATGACTGGTGATGAGGCTTCTGAAAGCAGCTTCTGTAAGCTGTCACTAAACGCGTCTCTGTAGTCTTTAGAGAAAACACTTGTTTTCACGAGGGATTCTTGAATCTCTTGAATCTCTCGGTCAGAGTAATCCTTTTCTTCCTTGAACACTGGAGTAACAAACCCTTCTGTATTTTTTCCCATGTTTTCCTTTGATGACTCATATCCTGGCAACTGATGAGTGGACTTTCTGGGTGGTCTCAATGGAAATGTGGTTTCATTTGGTAACACCTGGAGTGTGCCCTTTGAATTTAATTTCTCTATTTCCTCTCTTTCCGGAACTCTTTTCTGGCTTAGAAGCATCTCTCTTTCATGGGTATTTTTTCCTGATGATTTAATGTCACTGAATTCTTCGCGTTTCTGGCTATTAAAAGGCACAGAATTTTTTTGGCTTGTGGTAGTATTCTTCTCAATATTATCTTGACTGTTTGGATTGGCTCCTAAGTCCCAAAACTTTCTCAAATTCTCAAATTGAGAGTGATTATAGACCTGTTCTGTATTGGGTTCATCCATTCTTTCTTTTAGGGATATAACTTTAAAGTTGGGATTCCATTCACCAATCAGAGATCTGTCTTTCTCCAAAGAGGTATGTATTTCACTCCCAACATTTGAAGGAAGTTGCAGTGGTGGAAAAGTAATGTCCTTTTCACAATGCAAACTGTCTGTCACTGGTAATCTTCTTATAGGCTCAGTTGTCTTACTCTGAAACAGAGACACTTTACCTGGTTGGCCAGCTGAAGGATCATTTTTGGACGGACCTGATATTTGGGGCCTGGTCTCTTTAGTTTTATTTGAGGAATAAAAATGGCAGAGATGGGCTGCTTGACCATCCTTATCTAGGACCACTTGTTTGGCAGTGACTTGATTATTATATTTACTACAGCCTGTAGATAAACTGTCCATGGACTTCACAGGCTGATATGCTTTAGCAGAAAGTCGTTCCTGACAAAATGAAGATGTCGGTTCTTTATGAGTTAAGTTAGCAGTAGCTTTCTCACCTTCCCAAAAGGATATTCTGTCACTCACTCTTTTGTATTTCTCTCTTTGCACTTGGTTTTGGGGAACCTCACCTGCTTCTTGTAGTTGGACCTTAGGCTCCTTCCAAGGAGATTTATTGTTGGTAGCCTCAGGGGGTGACTCAACGGTCTGTGATTCTGAAGAAGCTTTTAGGATGTAACTATCTCTTCCTTTGCTCTCTCTCTCTGCCTTCACGTTGTCTTTCAAACTCCATTGTTCGGTAACTGTTGAAGAGTCAAAATTCACTTCTGACTTTCTTCTATTTTTTTCATAAACACAAAGCTTGGGCTCTTCTTCACCTAAACTGTCAACATCCTTAGTGTTGCATGGAACTTGATCTTCTGCATGAGATCCTTTGCAAACACTGTAGGAGTAGTTATTGGTTGGAGGAAGTACCCCAATTCCTTCTCCTACGTTTTTTGAACCTTGGCTATAGTCCACAGTTTTACTCTCTTGATTTGGACTGGAGATTTCAAATGGTTGCAGTATGCCTGGACTTTCCTTGCCTTGTGGGGACAAATTAATAGATTGGGGTTTGATATTCACATTTTTGCCATTTCCAAAAGGCATATTTTCCTCTACCTGGAATGTTGAATCAGATCCCACAGGTGTCAATTCAACTTTGGTGGATAACAGAGCCTTTGAGTCATTTTCTTTTTGACTGCTATCACCTGTCACCAAGGCAACAGCAATCCGTGACTTTGAGTCTGTTTTTTCTTTGGGCTCTATTTCTTGGGAATATTCGAGAGATGATTTCTTGTCATCTGAATGAGAACTTCGGTTAAACCAGTCTAGGACTTTAGATATGGAATCATCGGTTGTCTTCCTTATCTCAGTGGCATGTGGACCAGAGCATGAGGACGTCTTAGCTTTTAGGGACTTGAGAAGAGGGGGCTTACCTTGCTGATGGTCTCTAGAACTGAGATCTGGCACCTGAGATGACTCAGGCTCAACGTGAGACAGTTCATCTGCAACATAGAAATGCTTTTCTAAATAAGAAAAGAGAATGCTTAAAGAATTATTATTCAATCACTCACATTATCTTTTAAAAAGGCACTTTGTGTTTACATTTTCTACACCATTAGCTGTTTATATCAGCATTTATCTGGAGTTATAATGTAAACCATCCTAAATAAGATATTCTACCAAAGATGCCCTATAACAGTAAAGGAAGGTAAACATAGGCCCCTGGAAGTATGGGATGTAAGCCGAATTGGGGAATTTCTTTCAAGTGTCTGTTTTATTCTAAAAAATCAAGTAGATTTTGTATTCTGACCTGTGTTACATTTTAAACATTAATTTCTCTCAAAGCTTTGCATAAAATAGACACTCCAGGAAGATACATCATGTTGATTTTATGACGCCACCTATCTACTGGCCCACTCATAAACCCTAGAGAGGGCTTATACTCAAGTTCGAGAAACACAGACTTAGGAGATTTCAGAAGTTAGAAAAACAACGTTCAAGGAAGATTAAACAAGGAGCTCCCTCCAAAACATCAGAACGGCACAAGAAGGATATTTGCATCCAAGGGCCTTACTCCTGGTATACTGAACCAGAATCTCTGAAGATGAGGCCCAGGAATCTTTCCTACCAGCTATCCCAGTAGTTGTTTTGCATACTTCAGTTTGAGGACCATGGTCTCAAGAGGCTCCCCCATGATCCCCTATTTCCCTTCTACAATCTGTAAGCTGGAGATAGTCTCTGTGAGACAAAGTAAAATGAGGACTGATGGAGAATGGGATTTCTACCTGTTCCCTGATGTTTGCCAACCAACGGCTAGGAGGCTAGGGAAGGACACTTAAATTCTTTCTAGTCTACCAAGAAAGTAGGGAGAAATTATACTCCAATAAGGATGTTAAAAAAAAAAAAAGAAAAAAGAAAAAGTAGGGAGAGACCTTTCTGAGCCTTATTCACAGGGCACATGGCACATGTGGATGAGGGAACTCAGGCATTCTTTCCCTTTAGTTAAGACTAAAGGTGTTTCAGCATTTCTTGCTCTTCCTTATAAATGCTAAGCTACACAATACATGTTCTTGAAAATTATGTGAGCTGAATTTTTATGACATTAGCTACATCTGAAATGCACCAGAGGAGATGTCAGTTAATAAAATTATCTCTTTGATTTTAATCAACTCTGGCTAAATGCTAAAACAACAAAGGCTTACACAATAATTGGCACATAGTGGATATTGGTTTCCTTTCATAACTACACATTATACTATTAAATATATGTCAGTAATGATAAAGTTCCTTTGAGAAATCTTTAAGAATTCTTTGTTAGTCTGTTTAACAGAAGACTAATAATGAAAAGAATGCTTGTACTACACAGTGAAAAAAAAAGCAGTCTGGACAGTATAAACATAATTTAAATTATATCCATGCCTGAAAATTATTGGAAGGTCCTACAATTAAACATTAGTGATACTGCTGGGTGATATCACATATAATTGTTTTATTCTGTATGCATTTCTTCTTTTCAAATGTTTTTACACTTTTCAAATGAAAGTATATTACTTAAAAATAAGAAGAGTTTAAAAATTTGATGCCAGATAATGTTTTGTTTCCTTTGAGAAATTCTTTTGTTTTCTTCCAGTATAATATAACGAGTGTGATAATGACTGTCCTAAAGCTCAGAGCTCAAGTCAAACCCTTATAATTCACACAATTAGAGTTTACCATTCTTTTTTGGTCCTGATTTTCTTCTTATGCTCCATTATTTACTTGTATATATTTCTGTGGTAAGCAGGGGGGAAAGCAGGGCATTAATGAGTAAGCAGAACTTTGTATATAAGCTCTGAGACCAGAAGGCCTGTCTGTCAACCAAAATGGGTTTAGCTGATGACGGCTTCTCCCCAGACTTCACGGTGAGCTGAGATTGAGATTTAAAAATCAGAAAGCAAAAATAAATAGTTAATACAAAATTATAAAGGTAGTCTGTGGAAAAGCAGGTGCACTTTGAAAATCAGGAAAGGTTTACCATTTTTCTTCTATGGATTATAACAAAGGAAAATATTACCAAAGAAATTTTTTTCATCTTTTGGATAAACATTTAAGTAACCATCACCCAATTATTTGCTAATGTTTATTCAAACTTTAGTAGTTTCCTTAAAATGAGTTCCTTTATATCTTGAAGAAGCTAATTTTTAATTTTTTTTAAAAAAATATTCTCTTCTGTTCAAATGATTTAAAATACCCAGGGAGAGGGGTGATGGAAATGCTTTGTCCTTTAAGAAGTGGATTGATTTGAATAAGTATGAAAGCGTACGGCTGAGCAAAAGTGACTCAGGGTCAACTTAATATCGACTAATAAGGGAGGAGGAGAGTAAATGAGTTAGAAACTTGACTGTTGCTACTATAAATTTTCCTGACTATAAAAATTATCATAGAGTTAGTTTAGGACTTAGTGAAGATGGGAGAGAGTACACAAAATGATTTTTCCCATTGCTTCTGTTTTAAAACATAAGAATTGTGAAGTAATCATATAGGCATAGGAAAGCAGTTTGAGGCATCCCCTGAGAGTTCTAAGACCTTCAAGAAAGGACTAGTCAGCTAGTTAGCAGGAAAAAGCAGTACTCTCATTGCCTCTCGGCTCACACCAGCTGAAGGAGAAAGTTCCTTCAGAGCATTTAAAGTCTAAGAACAAATGGATGGAGGCCCTGGGCAGGCCAAAGTATGAGGCTTTTTCATAGTAAGAATTTAAAGTCTAGTTTCCCATCCTTTGAGGCTAAGAAGGTGACGGTTCTCCTGAAATTAAAAGAGAAACCGAAGTTTGGTTAAATCGTAATTGATAAATTTGCATTAGGTGAGTAATAATATATTTACTCTGTACAAAGGTATTAGCATATGTTTATTTCTCACTCTGTATATACACCTTGATTTAACTCAAAGTGCTATAATTTGTTTAGTTAAATTATTGATATGATTTTTTTTTTTTTTTGGATTAAGCATAATGTGCCGGAAAGTGTGCTATCTTGGTTCTTTTAGTTATTGGTGATTGAGGAAAACATGCAAACCCATTAAGAGGCATAAACATTCCCCAGTGGCATCCGCTTGAATTTTAGCGGGAATACCTAGAAAGCAAAATGGGTTTCTACCAGGCTGGCTGGCTGGCCTGGCCATTCCAAGCCCACTGGCTCAGTTTTTAGAGCCTGGTAGTGACGAATCTCTTACCAGCAGGGCTTCTGGACAATTTTGATTCAAGCCTTGACAATTCTGATGAGTTAGCTTTGTGTTCATTGATGGTGTGTGAATTCTCAGTGGACTGTGCTCTTGTAGTTAAAACTTCTTTGGGAGAATGGTGCTCATTCATTGGAAAGGAACCAGAAGTCGTTGGCTGATGCGTTTCATTTTTTGATGTACTTGGGCTTGAGGCTGATGGCTGAAAAAGCGAAGGCTTTCTGTATTGGGAAGGCTTAGGATCATTGCAAAACTCATCTATGTCCCCTGCATCTTCTGTTCCATTCTTCAATCTGTCAGATTCTAAAACACTAAATTCTCCTACTTCCTGGCCATGGACTAGCCCCAGACTCTGTGGGAGTTCATCCTTCACTGCAGAGAATCTCACGTGCTTTAATGGCTCCAGTGAGTTTGAGGAGGAGTCATCTTCTAAAGAATGCTCCTTCTCAGAAATTCTCTCATGGATGGTTAGGCCAGGTGACACAATTTTGCTTTTGGGTTCAACGTTCTGAGGAAAACGAACAGTTTCTGAGTCTGTGCTACTGGAACTGGAATTGCGTTTCAGGATCCCTCTTGGAGCCCCTCTTGTGTTCAGGGAGTCTGTCCTTTGTCTAGGAAAAGACTGGTTATCATCTTGCTTTAAGTCATGCGATTTATAGATCATTTTCCTGGCTGTGGGGATTGGAGCCTTGATTTGGGACCCATTCTCAGGGCCTGGAAAAGTCTGCTTTGTTTTCTCTAACTTTTGGCTTGAAATATCCAGGATAGATGACTCTTCTTTGGACTCTGACAATTCACCTGAAAAGTAAAACATATTAGATGATATACCAAATGCAGAATAACTCTGTAATTTAAAACACCTATCATAAACTTAATCTACATTTAGCAAAAACACTAAGTATTAAAGACAATGAAGCATGAAGCATAAATACAGACCTAATTAAAAAGCCTTAAAAAATTCATGCATGAACATCATTAAATTTAAGATTGCTGTGCTTTACATACATACATAGTTTGTGGTATTTTATACTCAATAAAAATTTTTTTTAAAAAAGAAACTTTAAAAATTCCTCAAGGAGGGTAAAGAAAAAACACAGAAGTCACTTAAAAAAATTCACGTATGGAAACCAGAAAAGGGAGCTCAATTTTTTAAAATCTCAATACCTAAAACAAAAATTAATTTTGTTAAAAAGTTAAAAAAAACAGGTAATGTTCCAGTGACTTCTTTTCTGTAAAGCATTTTATGCTATCTAAAGTGTATCCAATGGAGAAGAAAAATACACTAATATTAAAACAGGCTAATTGAAACTCCTAACTCTACTGTTTGTTAATTTTCTACCCCTTGTCCAATCTTTGATGCTTGTGGAATCTTCTTACAGTTGCTTTTGAAGAGATTAAATTGTCTAATGTTTCTTCTTAATGGTGAGAATGGTAAAATTCCCTAAGAGGCAGACTTCAATCAGTTAAGCAACAAATCTGATCAAATGCTCCTGGAAGACTGGGCTGATAATTACAGATTAGAGGATTGTAACATTGTCAAGTGGTCTTTTTATCTTGAGGCAAACTGTCCATTTTAAACAGAGAACTGTGTCTGTACCTGGTACACATCCAATAAAGACTGTTAAATGAATGACTGAATGCCTCTGGTCAAAAAATTTCCCAGGTCACTGGGGGGGGACCCAAGACATGGAGGTCACACAAGTGTCAGCTCC